GAGCAACCTCCATCATCCAGACTATCAGAAATCTTACTGCGTAGCTGTTGTCTTACATAGACCCTGCCACCAAACACTTCGCTGGAGACATGTCTGGCTACTGACCACAGCAGAGCTGAGCATCTCTGAATCGCCATTGCTGGGCTGTAAAGATTAGTGTATCAGCCTGAAAGATAGAGTTAGGTGATTTCTCCTGTGCAGCAAATGCAGAGCTCATCTCTAAACAGATTGTCCATAATTCAGATTACCCTTCGAACACGCCCACCAGTGGCAGGGCAGCAGGCAAAACAAGCACTTTGCTAAGCCTCCAGTTTCATAGACTAATTTGGTGTTTTTAAAAAGAAATTTCAGATCATGAAAGAAAATAGAATTTTCAGAAGAACTGCTAAGTATACTCTAATAGCAAAAGATTGAGAGGCTTTGCAACACTATATATATATATATATATTTTTTTTTTAATTCAGAATGAAGATTGGAAAAGGAAGGAAAGAAAGCCATGATGGATTTGGCTCTGGCAGTCAAAGAATACAATTTCAAGAGTCAAGCATTCTAGTAACTCTGCTCTCCTTTCACACAAAATGATGAGGGACTGTTACCAGCTGTGCAACAATATATCTTCACATTTTATTATTTTGAAGTTGATTTTTTTTTAATGGATTTTACCAGAACCAATATTATTTTTGCGAGCTTTAAAGGCGCCAAGGACAGACTACTGAATGGGGGCAGCATTTTCTTTTTCAGGCGCTAGCTATAGTTCAGCCTTTAATTTCCCTACTTTCCTCAACCTTTTCTTCTGTGCAGACTTTTGTTTCTGAATAGACATGAACAGGGGCAATTTGGGAATTCACTTTCTACAAGTTAATTTCATGGCACTTAGCAGACAAAGTGAAGTAACTTAAATGCCAGCTTATTATTATAAGCAGTTTCAAGCACTTGTCATCCTGGTTATATTTTTCTCCACAGCCTGAAACCACATCCTATATTGAACTGGAAGGGGATGTACAAAGTTTCATCTCAATTTTGCATTTGAATAAGTATTTTTCTTAACTTAATTAGGATCATTTTATTATCACTTCTTAGCCTTGACATATCATATAAGGGCTTTTTCAAAGCAAGAGAAAAATTACCCTCTAATACCAGTTGCCCACCTTGTACTTTTTAATAGTCAAATTTGAATATCGCCTAGTGGATAAGACTACAACATGCCACGTCCCACACACTTCATGTGCCCAGTCTACATGAAACATCACTTGATCCCTCCCTAAGATGCCGCTAAGGTGTTTCCCCACTCCCAATTGCTCTAAAGCACAGCCCAAATACAGAGTTTGCATGGAAACCACTCGCACACATACTCAGAGGCTTCAACAGAGATTCTGACTCCCGCTTTGCTGGCAGTAAAACCATATCCCGCCTATTTCCAGAAAATAGCAAGCAGCACACAAGTTGGAATGGAGCCACTCCTTGGCACAGAGGTATCCTGCTTGGGCCTCTCGTGTTCCCTCTGCTACACGTATTCCAGAAAGCCTTCTAGGTTAATGCTAAACTGTGCGTTTTTTCTTCTACTGACAGCCTATGACTTTAGCTCTCAAACCGCTCTGTTCAACCCTTGCTTACCCCAGAGCCTGAAAACCTGGGCTGTTCTGAGAGTGTCCTAGTATCTTAGTTTTAAGGATCATGTTCAAAACGATTGATGGCCAAAAGTCTAAGTCAGCTTTATCATTGCTGAAATGTATCTTAATCTGAGACCTTTCTTGGGACTTGATATAGCAGATCAAAGATATAACAATGAATGTAACAGTTAATTTTTGTTCTAAGAATAAAAATCTTCCCTTGTCTGCTTCAGCATTTCAGATACCTTCTACCACTTTAATCAGGGTTAGTCATGGAAATTGCAGTTTAAGTGGCTTCATCTTCAAACTAATGGCTAGCATCTCTGTTCTCAAGGTAAGGCAGCAAATCCCAGTTTTGTTCACTTCTTTTTTTTTTGACTATTTGTTTCTCGCTCATATTATACAGTTTGTTTGAACCTGTCTTTCCCTCATTCCTTCTTCTCATTAACTACGCATTACTGCAGACTTTAATTTGTACACTCTGGGTTTAGGAATTACTTCTTTGTTACAGCTTTATGAAGACACAGAGAGCATCTTTTGTATCACATAGAAAAAAATATTAAGCGCACAGTCCTTGCAGTAGATGCACAACAGCTTTCTCTCTGCAAGCGTCATGTAAAGATGAAAAAGGGAACAGGGCTTTAAATTATTCTTCCCCAAAAGCTTACCAAGTTATATGGGGGATCCCACCCTCTGGTCAGAATCAGTGTGGATATATTTGCTCTAGCCTTAAATTCAACAGAGAGATCAGATTAACCACCTGATTAAATATTAACCTAAACTATACGGGTGGGAGGGGGGTATCCCAGACTAAACCCAGGCAAAGACCATAACAACGGGAAAACTCGCACTATCCCCCCTCAAACAAAACAACAACAACAAAAAAAAGGCAAAAAAAATGCACATAGCATGAATACCAAAGCTAACTAGGGCTGCTCTCACTGTACGGTGGATATATGCCAGTGTGAGGGCAGGCAAGACAGAGGGTCTTTCATGTTTGGAAGTGGCAGAAAATAAAGACAGACTGTAACCCAGGAATGGTTGTTTGCTCTCCTGAAAGTCAGTCATTAAAGCGCTGCCGGATTTCAAAGCTACCCAGCTCTTAATAGTCCCTGTATCATTACTACCTAGTAGGCAAGCATTCATGGGTTACAATGGAAAGCTACTGACTGCTGCTTGTGATCAGCTGCCTGCCACCTCTTTCACAGCGTGGCTCCACCTTCTTCATCCAGAAAGAAGGGAAAAGAAACTGAAACAGCCTTCGGTTTCCCTCAGCTGCACTTTGAAGAGCAGGGAGAAAAAAAAAAAAAAAAAAAAGGCAAGATAAGAAAACCCAGCACATAATAATAATAATAGCATTTAATAGCATTACATGCACTGTTACTAACAGCTCAGAAAAAGCACATTTGGGGAAGAAGACTGTAAACCATTTGCTTTGGTCACCTAAGCATATATGTTTTAAGCACATGTGCATAAAATACACACACACTACCATCAGTCTCTGTTCTGTTTTATATCTGCAAACTACAGCTTATACAAGCTATCTAAGAATTGTCACTGGAAAACCAGAGGTGGACCGAGTATAGATCTCAGTAAAGCCTAAAATAAAATCGAGGGCTGAAGCTTTGGCTTTACTTTTGTCAGCATGAAGTTGTTGGAAGCTCTTCTGTGTCCTGGACTGCATTCAGCTTAGTGCTGGAATGCAGCCTATACCCACCTCTTAAGCCAAAAGAAGTATTTTTAGACCTTCCAAGATGAAATATTAGGAGACAGAAAAGAGGGAGCTAGAACCAGATTTGAATTATCACTTTGAAAAAAGATGGGAAGAAACCAACGCTACATATGGCAATATCAAATATACAGAATCAACCACTGCTATGGCACGATGCGTAAGCCATGCCATCACGAAGCCTACCAGAACAACTCAGGTCCTATGTAGTAAGTGTCATTCATAGGTAGGCTTCAGGCTGACCCCAGGTGGCTCTGAGAGGACAAGGACAAGCTGTTTGTGTGCCCAGTCCCATTCACAGATTCTGTATGAAGTATTTCTGACTTTGAAAGTGCACACCTTGCGTAAGGTGGAGAACAAGCACCCAATACACACAACCATCTCAGCCAGGCTCCTTGCTACTTACTACTGCTCTTGCTGTTGTTGGTAGACTGATGTTTGGCCACTTTGTTCCTCTTCAGATCTTGTCAGCTTCTGAGGGTTTTCAGCCTCCTCTGTTGCATTGCTGCCATCCCAGAGGTAACCCCGAGATGAAAATGGGGTTCTGGATGAAGTAGCTGTCCTGTACCTGCTGCCTTCCCTCCATCCTCCAACCCCAGACATTGCTTTGGGAGCACCTTGCCTGCTCAGAAAAAAGTATTGTGGCTAGGGAAAGAGTTCTTAACTGTTTTCAATTTCAATTTAATTGGTTTCCATTCCCTGTAAGACCCGCCCCTGACTGGACGCTCAGCTGTAAGACATACAAATGCACACACTGCTTTCTGAGTCACCCTCCAGATGAAGCTCAGTTTGTTCATCTCAACCACAGCACCCCATCAGACTGGAGTCATGGGGTGACAGCAAACCTGATCCATACTAATAAAACAGTCAACACCACTTTGTGCAGATGTGGAATAGACTGCGTCAGCGTAAGCACAGTGAGGTCTGGCTGAAAGCCAGATTTCTGACATTTTTTTACCCCGGCAATTCAAATTTGTCTATGACAGAGGGGCAAACTCTAGGGGGTTTGCTGGTTTCTATTTTGCAGGGGTGTACAAAGATGAAAGTGAAACTGAAAACTAACCCTTGGATAAATCCTAAGACAAAGGTCCTGCACAGCTCCAATTCTGCCTTTCAATTCTGCTCAATCAGAAAACTTTTACTTTGACTTTCCTAATTCTACCTGATGAATAGAGGACAAATAAATGATCCTCTTAAGTGAAAATGCAGATCCCTTCAGTGAACACATCTAACCAGTGGTATTATATCTATGGGATTTAGTACTGTGGCATCTGCAGGGCTGGGGAAAACCAGCAACCTTCTTAATATCACTAGTAAAATAAAGATGTTTGACAGCTCCAAACCCAAGAAAAAAACCCCAACACTAGTAATGCTACTCAAGCTTTACACAGCAGAGCTGGGGAAATTCAGCTCCACACCTGCAGATCCTGTCACTTTTTGTCCTCAGCTGCCCAACCTGCACTAAAACCACGCCACTGAAGGGATGCTTTTGTGTCCAGGTTTCCTGACTGTCCAGATTGTCTATGTCTTACGGCACACCCCACACATGCTGGGAAAGCAGCAAGATAAAATGCCACATGGAGAGCCACAGACTGCTGGGTTTTCGTGATGCTCCTTGGGCTGCTGTATGGGACCCCATCACCAGCTGCACACCTCCCAGAGCTGCCACATCCAGCAGCACGTATCTCCTCAGGGTTGCCCGATGAAGGCAGCATCAGTGCTCTCTCCCTCCTATGATCCCTCCTAACATGCTCTGCAGCAGGGATGATCTTCATTTGTACACGAATCATTTTGCGCAGACTCTGGAGTGCAATGGCTGTGTGTTGCAAAGGGATGAGCTGCTGGATAGTCTCCTGCATGTTTCCCAGAACTGTCTTGCTTCTGGACCGTGATGGGACTAGCCTGGTCTATGAAAACAGAGGAACACTGTGGGAGAGTCCAGGATGGTCACTTCTTGGAGACAGATAGCAGAAGCCACCCAAAGGCCCTCTCCCTACCTTCTGCCAAACCCTGATCTCTCTAATCCCAATCTCTTTTAAGCTAACGATACAGCATGCATTGAGACATACGCAGAAGCCATCCCAGGTTGG